CCGCCACGTACCTATTCATGTACGTTCGCTTTTCGCGTACAAATTGCGAGTGCGGAATCTCCTGCACGAGCTATACAAGGTGTCCCAGAAATATCGAACCACGAAACACGTACAAATTCCTGCTACAAGTGCAATCAATTTGTCTTTTATCGTTACAAGTCAAGATTATTATATATAAAATTATATTATTATATATATAATAATAATATAATATAATAAAATAATAAAAAATATAACAAAATAATATATAATATATATATAATATAATATAATATAATATATATATATATATATATATATATATATATATTATATTATATTATATTATATATATACTGTCTCTTATACACATCTAGATGTGTATAAGAGACAGTATATATATAATATAATATAATATAATATATATATATATATATATATATATATATATATTATATTATATTATATTATATATATACTGTCTCTTATACACATCTAGATGTGTATAAGAGACAGTATATATATAATATAATATAATATAATATATATATATATATATATATATATATATATATTATATTATATTATATTATATATATACTGTCTCTTATACACATCTAGATGTGTATAAGAGACAGTATATATATAATATAATATAATATAATATATATATATATATATATATATATATATATATTATATTATATTATATTATATATATACTGTCTCTTATACACATCTAGATGTGTATAAGAGACAGTATATATATAATATAATATAATATAATATATATATATATATATATATATATATATATATTATATTATATTATATTATATATATACTGTCTCTTATACACATCTAGATGTGTATAAGAGACAGTATATATATAATATAATATAATATAATATATATATATATATATATATATATATATATATTATATTATATTATATTATATATATACTGTCTCTTATACACATCTAGATGTGTATAAGAGACAGTATATATATAATATAATATAATATAATATATATATATATATATATATATATATATATATTATATTATATTATATTATATATATACTGTCTCTTATACACATCTAGATGTGTATAAGAGACAGATTATATATTATTTTGTATATAAACAGAATTGTGAAGAACGATTCTAATGAGTATAGTAGACATTGTACAATGAGAAAAGATGGTTTTATACAATACCAATATTATGTTCGATAAATTACTTTTCTAGAATCTGCTCATGCTGCCTGATGAATATTAGAGCTCACGTTTAAGTTCTACCTAAAAGTTCTTTCTTCTACAACATAGATACTTGAAATTCAGGACGCTCGTTTCATAGAATACGCCCGGAAATGCCAAATTTTGAGTTGCTGCGAATTTCCTTGTGCTACTATGTAATTTATTGTTAGGTCGATGCTAAGGGTCAACGGAATCGGTCAAGCGTGTGATATGACACGCGACGCGAATTCCCGGAAGACAATACAAATTTGGATGACAACTGGATAGAGAATTTGGGTGCGAGACAGGAAAGTAAAATCGCGGAGCTACAAGGTACGTGATAGTTACTAGGTACGTGACCGTCGAATCGTGTCATGTGGCCTCTAAATTGTCTTCAAATAATGTGGCCTCCGAATTGCCTTCGAATTGTGTCATGTGGCCTCCGAATTGTCTTCGAATAGTGGTATGTGCCTTCTAAATTGTCTTCAAATTGTGTTATGTGGCCTCCGAATTGTCTTCGAATAGTGTCATGTAGCCTCCGAATTTCCTTCGAATCGTGTCATGTGACCTCCGAATTGTTTTCGAATAGTGGCATGTGGCCTCTAAATTGTCTTCAAATTGTGTCATATGGCCTCCGAATTGTCTTCGAATTGTGTTATGTGGCTTCTAAATTGTCTTCAAATCGTCTCATGTTGCCTCCGAATTGCCTTCGAATCGTGGCACGTGGCCTCCGAATTGCCTTCGAATCGTGGCAAATAACTATAAATCGTTTCTATTCTGACATTATTGTGACTTTATATTAATGTACACCGGCATGCTGACCGCTGCCTTTTTTGCCGACTGCCTCGAATTTCAATAAAAACGAGCCGCGAGGCTCGAAGAATCGCGACTTAGTATTCTCAGATCTGCCGGTTTCAATTCCGACCTGCGAACATAGGAATAGAATGGTAGGAATGGTAGGAATTAGTGTATATAGTGTATAAAATTTCCTCTTTTAATTATACATTAGACTACACATTCTTCACGCAATACCTCGATAATTGTGGTTCCCAAGGCGGTGAAGAACAATTCAATTTGCATCTACGAACGCGCAGGTTTCGATGGTCTCGTATTTCTAGGACGAGCTGTACAGGGTAGGCGGTACGTTCAGGTACGGATTCGTCGTTCGAGGTTTGATTCCCGACCTGGACGTTCATATTTCAGCCGGAACCCCCTTATCCTTCGCGAGGCAACGATGTGGTTCTACTCTGCGGCCATCGATCGGATGAGAGACAGGGGGCCACGGAGGAAACGAACGACGACCGCTGCCTCCATCCAGATTTAACGCTGGCATTTACATTTAGAAGAGCTCCTCGCCGAGCTGTTGTTTACTAATCGGATCCGGAAAATGGTGCTCGGGAGCCGTGAGATTCGTTCTTAACGCTGTAAACACGATCCAATGACCACCCGATGCTCCGTCTATGGTCGGGCTTAACCGAACCACCGTCTGCGCCACCGCTGTTGTCTCTCGTTTCGTCGTCAAACATCCTTCATCCTTTTTCCTACGTTGTTTCTTACACTTGGACAGCTGCTTGGGAAGTAGACACCGATAGCGTCGACATCTTTGTTATCAGTTTATCGTTGAATCTTGTTTATAGCGTCTTTAACCAGTTAGAGCTGCGTTTCACGTGTATACTCGTCATCGTTTGATTCTCGCTGAAAGTTGAACTTCGGTTAAAGAAGTTTGTCAGAGCAGAAGTCCTTGCTGCTATTGTCTCCACAGTGTCTTCAATATGACACAATCTTTGTTTCTCTCATTTCATGGTCTATTAAAGATTATACGGAATTTGTGTTTACGAAGTTGTTTCTTATTTTTGGGAAAAATCTAGGGTGAGGCTCGGATCAGAATGTAACTGTTAGACTGCGCATTTTATGCATTTGTGACAAAAATGAGCATTTATAACGTCGAACAGTAGAAAGATTGAAAATATTTCATAGTGTCAATATATTATTTTCGACCTGTAATAAAATTATTAAGGAAGCGATGAAGCTTTTAAGTTACTTCTATTTTCTGCAACAGATACAGATTTTTGAGGTTTTTATACAAATCCGCAGTCTAGTAATTATAGAACATTCTTAATCCTTAATCCTTTGAGAGCTGACGTTTCTGTCAGTTACACATATAGTTCACGCTTTGAAATATTTAACGCAGGATTCTAGCTATTACAGCTACCATTTCAAATTGTTAATCAACGATTGAATAGATAACTGTTGCAATAATAAAGCAAAATCACTACAGACTGTGCTCTCAATCGTACTTCACTCGAATTAAATTTTTATACTAGTCGAGTATTAATACAGCAAATTCTTCCTAATTGACGCTCAGACTGTGCACAAAAATGGACAATTTTGGCAGAGGAGATACGATTATTCGAGCCTCCTCTTCCCAAATTGTCTGTTTTCACCCTGAGGGTCAATTAGGGAGAATTTACTGCATTCCAAAAATCTCTTCTCCTTTTCTACAACATAAACAGATCAAGCGAAAACAGAGCAATACAGGGTGTCCCAGGTTTTAATGTAACTCTCATCTTTTTTATGAAACAATACGAGTAATATGGTCATAAAGATGTACATTAGACCCGATGATTTTTTATTGCTTCGTGCATCGCATTGATTTTTCATGTGGCAAATATGCTATTTTGCGATACGACATTTTATTCTTCGAACGCTGAGCTTGCAAAGAGTTCTAAATTATTACTCGTTGTACGTTAGAATTTTTCAATGTTATAAATAAGAATTAAAATTATATAATTAAATAGCCTTGACATAATTTTATTAAAAGATGCAACACGAATGTTCACACCCCGGAGCAGAGACTGTTACATGTGCTGGTCATCCTGTTTATTAAGAACCTCATTAAATTCCTTGATTAATTTCAAACGGATTCGGTTCTACTTGTAGCCGAGTTATTAAAGAAATGATTCTACATTAGGAAGAGTTGATGATGCAGCGGCATAGCCGGTCTGGCGTACTCGATATGTGGTTCTCGAAACTGCAGTCTACAATTTGAATTATACAGGGTGTCCCAGGTTTTAATGTTGAAACTTTGTCAGTATATTCTATGGCACGAAGTAAGAAAAAAATGTTATGTAAACATAGGTCATATAGAGCTTTATTAAGAAGTTATAACAAAAATTCAGAATAGGAATAGTAATCAACTAAAAAAAAATAAAAAATAAAAAAAATCTTCGATCGATGTCAATCATGTATTGTCAACAACGGTTATTAATACATTTCGAAATGTATTATATAAACACACGGTATGTGCTGATCTATTCGAGCCAATGCTCGCAGTAACAGCAAGTTGATTACTATTCCTATTCTGAATTTTTGTTATAACTTCTTAATAAAGCTCTGTATGACCTATGTTTACATAACATTTTTTTCTTACTTTGTGCCATAGAATACAAAGTTTGAACATTAAAACCCGGGACACCCTGTACAAACGTAATATAATTTTCGGCAATGAACTAATTTGATATTTAATTAGCTGAATGTAAATAATTACATCTGTGGACACAGTTGTACAGTTTGCATAGCATAGCATTTAAACTCCACTTAGTTTACCGTGATGATGATCGATACATTTCCGGTGCAGGAATGCACAATATTTTCCTGCGAGTAAACTCAAACGCGCGGCAGCGACAATATTTGTGCACACTGTCAACAGACATTTATTTTATCGGTGGAAGCGTAAATATGACCCGGCGATAAAACAGACGACAATTTCCTGTTTTGCAGCTTCTGGCGGGCAACAATAATCCGTACACGGAGAAGGAGCAGGTCTTCGATCCAGCCATCGTGGCGACGAAAGTCCGTTTCATCCCGTACACCTCCCACATGCGGATGGTATGCATACGAGTGGAGCTTTATGGCTGTCCATGGACCGGTGAGTAAAATTTAAAGCCACTCCTCTTTCCATCCTCTATCTCCGCGTCTCTGCACTTATTCGCGACAAACTGTCCGCCGAGAAGGATTGAAAACTATGACTAGATAGTTTTCACACATCTTCATCGCTACCGTGATATTTCTGCGTTTTCTGCAATCAAGAAATTCCTCATGGTGGGGCATACATTTTTTTTACATTTAAGACCGCTATGCTTCCGTCATACTGTTTATTATAAAACGCCTTCCAACAAAAATGTTAAGATATAAAAATATAAAATATAAAATATAAAAGAAATATAAATATATTTTATATTAATATTATATATATATATATATTTATATATATTTATATATAATATTTATATATATATTTATATATAATATATATATATATTTTTTTTAAATATAAAATATAAAATATAAAGATATTAAAAACGTAGAAGTGTCTTTCATATTTTTTCAACTGCAATCTTTTTAGAATTCTTATTGGTATCTTTCTTATAGAATGAGTGGATTATATATCGTGCCAAAGATGATTACATTAAATACGAAACGATAACGATACGTAAGATCTAGAAAATTGATAAAGAAGAAAATACATTTCTATTTCATTGTTATCTCTTGCAATAAATGTGGACAATTTTGATCTTGCACAGGGATTTTTTAGTCAGACAAAACAAAAGATATTGTGACAAAAATTTTCAACATTTCGAACTAACATTCCGAAAGAAAGCGTCTGCTACTACTAAAAAAGAATCATTAGAAACAGAAACAAATATATTTTGACAAGATCATTTGAATTAACAATTACCCAAAAGTAAATGAAAATAATGCAACCCCTGCGTGTACAAATTCATAACATTTATTCCTCATTTCAAGCTTATCGTATCCCGCTTTACGTTTCAATAATCGAATTTGTATCAGATTCAGAAACAATGAATATTCAATTAAATCATAGTTTTTGCTATTTTTTCATTCGCGTGCCCAGCTAAATATGCTCGATTTAAACTCACTGGATACCGATAACTAGTTAAAAACAGAGTCAGCGTTAAGTGGATTTTCTACCCGGCGTCGGCTGCATTCGTATTCTTAAACTTCGATCGAATAGCAACAACTTCGCCGGCTCGAATCCGGCATTAACGCAGATTTAGTAGCGGCCACGATTCCAAGAGAGAACAGGTGTGCTTGCGTTAATCCGACCCCAAAACGGTTCGGCAAGCCGAGTGCCGGTATGCGCGTAGTCGTTGCACGAAATCACGGTTATAAGTATCGATATTACGGCGGGTATCGACGCTGCTTCTAATAGCTTACGTGTGGCAAAAGATATTTACATCGGGAATACTCGTTTATACCAAAATAGTGACACGACTTTATCGCGGATTGCGGTTAATTAAATCTTTCGAAGAAGAAATTGTAGTTATACGAAACTGCCTAATCGATTTTAACCTCTTAGGAACGACACGCCACTATAGTGGCTTTCACGGATATCATCTCCCTGAACGTCTTCAAATAATTGTCTTCATATGCATCGTTTCACACTTCTTTTGTCTTCACATCGATTTACAACAGTCTACAGGATGTCCCAAAAATGTCTCGCAATCCGGAAATGGCGGATTTCTCGGATCATTTGAAGCAACTTCTTCCTTTACAAAAATGTTCTCCGAGGCACCGTTAACGAGTTATTAACGAAAAACAGTGACCAATAAGAATCGAGTACGGCTGGCGCGAGGCGGCCCAGCCAACCAGCGCGCGAAGCCCAGTTCCGCTCATTGGCTCGGTCGCCTCGCGCCAGCCGAGCTCGCCTCTCATTGGTCACTGTTTTTCGTTAATAACTCGTTAACGGTGCCTCGGAGAACATTTTTGTAAAGAAAAAGGTTGCTTCAAATAGGCTGAGGAATCCGCCGCTTTCGGATTGCGAGACATTTTTGGGACACTCCGGTATAGCGTTTTTACAGTACATTTATTTGGTAGCGATGGACGTCAAAGTGTTTGGAGGAAAAAGGACGCAGAATTAAAACCGCGGAATCTACGGCCGGCTATAAAACATAATGCTGGATCTGTATTAGTTTAGGGCTGCATGGCATCTAGTGGAGTGGAAAACCTTGTGTTCATCGATGGGATAATGGACAAAACGAAATACTTAAAAATTTCGCAGGAAAATTTACAAAGCAGTGTATCAAAATTGAATTTACCTAGCGATTATTGGTTTCAGTCTGACAATGATCCGAAGCATACCGCTAAAATAGTCAAAGAATGGGTATTGTATAATGTTCCGCACGTGGTGCCACATCCACCGCAAAGTCCTGATTTAAACCCCATTGAACATTTATGAGATGAAGTAGAAAGATGATTAACTCTGTACAGTACACATCAGACTCTGCCGTCCAGAGAAATAGCCTCGCGCAGAATTCAGCCGTGGAACGAATTATTATTAAGTTAAAGGAATATTTTCGTTCGGTCGTTGTCGCATCGTACAATAGCATGAGCGTAAACGACTGCGGTATTATATATTCAATTCCGGCATCGAGCAATTACCGTAACAAAACGAAAATATTTTCCATATGCTGGCCTCTCTGCCGGTGATTCCAGTTGAAATTACTGGATATTACCGTGCGTGCGACACAGAACGGCACGGCACACGTGGCCGGCATACATTTCTTGGCGCATTTTTTCTTTCCCCTGGATTGTGCCCGCTGCGCACGCAGCGAATAACACCATGATAAATACGGAGATGGCGTTTTTACAGCGTATGAAATTTATCGTTTATACTGTTATCGGGAAAAGGGGCCAGCCACCGAGAAGTGAATTGGCCGTCGCGCAGTTTGGAAAACGCGCGCGCCTGTTGTTCACCCGCAACTGGATATTTCGCACTCCTTACAGCTGCCATTCCTGTGAACCGATTAATTGAACCTATTGCGTTCGATTGGAAACTGAAGGCATTCACACATCCTGCTTGTTGCGGTTATTTTTCAAATTAGAATTGTTAAATAAATCGGATCTCTCAATATTCAATTACTTGAGAAAGTAATTTGTTGGAACAATTTGACGTTAACGTCAAATAATTTCATTTGGTTTTGAAATTCACTTTTATTTGTAATATATTGAGCAAACTCGTTGTTTTATTGTAATATATTGAGTAACTAAAACGTTACTGGGTTTACTAGAATGTAAAAAAATTTCCTGTGATAAATTTTAACTTTCTAGTTTCGGTTTCATTAATCAAATGACTTTGATATTGTGATAATTTTTGAAGGTGATATTCGGTACTTAATGTGTTAATATTTATTGACATTTATATTTTAACATTTTATATATTTATTATAATAACATTTAACATGTTATATATTTATTATCATTTCATTTATTCATTAACATTTAATATTTATTGAGGTTAAAAAGGTTATTTATATATATATTATTATATATTATAAGAAAATTATTATCGTATTATTAATATTTTAATATTTAGTAACATTTATATTTTAACATTTTATATATTCATTGACATTTAATATTTATTGAGGTTAAAAAGGTTATTTATATATTATTATATATTATAAAAAGATTATTATCGATGTGGATCTATGTATTGCATCTCATTCTTATATTTAGCAACAGCAAGTTCTAAGAAAAGAATTTTCTTTTAGATAGCATATTATTTTTTGGTAAAACAAAATATTATTTTAAATTTTTACAAATCGTGTTCTACAATTATGTTCTTCGGCGCAAGTGCAAGGAAATCTTTAGCTTTCGCCACTTCGTAATTAGAATCCAGTGACGCTTCCTGCTGAGAGCAATCAAATTGTATTATTAGTAACACACACACACAGGTTTCATCTCTGACTTCCAATTAAATTCATCACCTTCATTGGTGTAGTAATAGAGATGCAGCCAAGCGATTACGGATATTCATCCGAGGAAAGTGTTAAAACTTGTACGGCGGACGTCTTCAGCAAAGTCTGCCACTTCTCCCAGCTATCGTTTCGACGTCCAATAAATCATTTCTCGTTGGTCCTATGGGGGAAAAGCCAGGCAGAAACGGTTCCTTTTTATTGGCTACGATTCTGGCATTGATGAAGACGTATAAAGATTAAATTACGGTACGGACGATTTCTTTGTTTTCTTTTTTTTTTTTATTCAACTCGGAAAGTACAATCCTTATATCCGATGATCGTTTCAATTGTCAAAAATATCCTCAGTACAAAAGATCTTCTAACGAGAAAAAGAAGCTAATATTTCGTTTTTGTTTCATAGGTGAGTTTTAAGGTTCAGCGAAGTTAATTTTGTTATTAAGTTATTGAATTCAAAAGTGAACGTATCGCCCTTAGTTTCGTTTAAAAAATTTGAAGTCAATTTAAAATATATTTGTGAATATAAATTTAAAATATTTGAGAATTTAAAATATTTGTACGTACACTGAACTGCTTGAACTACTTGGGTCCATTCCGACCCAGCTGTGGAAGAAGCTCTCATCTAACTTTTCAGCTTCTGTAGATTAACTTAAACTGTAATTTATTCGTAGGAAGTTTGCCAACTCGATCGACTTTTTCATAGAAAATGTGATGAAAAAAATATATATATTATATTATATTATTATTATTATTATATATATATATATATATATATATATTAGCTTTGGAACCGAGTAAGATATTATAATGATATTCGATTTATATGAATTTGTAGACATCGAAGAATTATATTTATAAAAATATATTTGCAAAAGGAATCAACATTTTGCTTCTCATCATTTTCACAGTATAATAAATTTAATAAAGCACTCCAATATAATAAACTTTAACGCCCCCTCGGAGTGGATGATATCCGAGTGATATGCTAGTATTACGATGTCCCCTGAGAGGGGACAACGGAGTGCCAAAGGGTTAAAAATCTACCGTAGCCAAAGGGTCATAAAATCTAGCGTATAGAAGCGTAGAGCTCTCCGAAGCTTCGTACTGGTGTCTCCTCGCGCTTATCCAGCCGGAATCTCATCACGTATCGTCGGAAATAAAGTGTCGGTAGCATTGCCACGTGCCGTCACGATGATGCATAGTTTCGGAGCATGCCGCCCCGTGGATATCTGGGTAACGTGACGGGACTTTTGCTTTTGTTGCAGAGGGCCTGGTGTCGTACTCGATGCCCCAAGGAATTAAGAGGGGCTCGGAGGTTGACCTTTCCGACAGAACGTACGACGGCCGGGAAGAAGGAGGTTACCTCTCCGGGGGACTCGGTCAACTTGTCGACGGGCAAAAGGGTCGTGACAACTTCAGATTGGACGTCGGCGGTAACGGGAAAGGTGAGCTGTGCTTCGTGCTGGAATGAGATTAGCGTTAGAGCCTGATCGTGTCTAGATTAGCGTGATAGAGCCGTCACGGCTACTACACTCGCGAGTTACCCGCTCGTTGGCAGACTTATGTTGTTCCATCCTCTCTTCCCCCGTTCTCGAACTGGTTCCTTTTTATCCGCATGAATTTCCGGTCTCTTCCGATGATTGGACGCCCAGCCGATGATACTTTAATTGAACCAACTTTTCTTCTTCGCGTTTCATTCGCGTGGATTTCACGCTAGCTCCGAGGCGAGCTCGGTTCGGAAATGAACAAGGCCAGGCTCGTCCATGCTCGTACATCAAACGTGACAGCAACTCGAAAAGTTATACGATTGTATCTGTAGACGTCGCGTTAACACTTTGATTTCCGCGTCGCACATATATGTGTGTGACGGAATTATTTGCTCGTAACTGACAATTCACTTTTACGGTAATCTGTTACATTTTCCTGATTTGATCGGGATCCGCAAAACGTAAGAATGTTGGAAAGGTGATTGCTATCGTGGATCTTGACTCTTTAATTTGAATCTGGTTAAATAAAATACATTAACTTCGTGGAATTTTTAATGGTTGTCAGCGTGGCAGTTAAAGTGATAAAGGAAAACGCGAATAGAATTATAACGGAAGTCAAACTGAAGTTAGTTAGAAGGTGTTTAAACTTAATGCTAAACCTGTTATGTCGGCCTTCCATCTCTTAGTTTCGAATTGCTAAAATTGCTTAAGAAACGATTGAAGAAATTCTCTCATTTAAGTTTAAATAGAAATATAATAATAGAGAGAATAGAATAGAAATATAATAATAGAATAGAATAGAAATATAACAATAGAATAGAATAGAAATATAATAATAGAATACAATAGAAATATAATAATAGAATAAAATAAAAATATAATAATAGAATAGAATAGAAATATAATAATAGAAATGGCGAGAAATGTAAATAAATCTAGTCTCGTCACTTTTATAAAGCAGTACACGTCAGTCATTTTTCGAGCTCGGCAGGTTTAGTGTACCTTCAGACGTGAGATGCAAAAATACACAAGATAGCAATGTGCTAGAAAAATGAACATCCCGCTATAGTAATCCTTTGCGCGCTGATTTCATTCACAGTTACATTAATTAGCCCTTCACTAGCCTCCAATAACTTAAATACAATTTTGTTTTGATTCAGAGAAAATGATTAATATTTAACAGATCATAAACGAAATTTTTGTCATGAATATGATTCGTTGTTCTAGTGTAATAGCATAAACAGGAAATTAAAAATGTTAACAGAACTTGATTATCACGAGAAGATCCTCTGCACAGTTCAATCTTTTTCACAAGAAGCGCATAAAATTTCGCTTCGCTATCTCTGACAGTCACCCGCAAGAAATTCACTTTTAACCATTCAAAGTTTAACCTTTTAGGCACGAAGCGCCACTATAGTGGCTTCCGCGAATGTCATCTCTCTGAACGACGCGCCACTATAGTGGCATACTCTAGTAGCTCACTCGCTCATCGTTTGAACCAAATAATCGTCTTCATATGCATCGTTTCATACTTCTTTTGTCTTCGCATCGATTTGCAACAGTCTACAGGGTGTCCCAAAAATGTCTCGCAATCCGGAAATGGCGGGTTCCTCGGATCATTTGAAGCAACTTCTTCCTTTACAAAAATGTTCTCCGAGGCACCGTTAACGAGTTATCAACGAAAAACAGTGACCAATAAGAATCGAGTACGGCTGACGCGAGGCGGCACAGCCAACCAGCGCGCGAAGCCCAGTTCCGCTCATTGGCTCGATCGTCTCGCGCCAGCCGAGCTCGCCTCTCATTGGTCACTGTTTTTCGTTAATAACTCGTTAACGGTGCCTCGGAGAACATTTTTGTAAAGGAAAAAGTTGCTTCAAATGGTCCGAGGAAACCGCCACTTTCGGATTGCGAGACATTTTTGGGACACCCTGTATATACAGACAGAATATACAGAATCAGACTCTGTACAGTTCATATCAGACTCTTCCGTCCAGAGAAATAGCCTCGCGCAGAATTCAGCCGTACCTGAAAGGTTAATCTCGATCCGATCCGAGCTCCAGGAATACAGTGCACTATACGGTTAATCAGTTCGCAGTGGGAATCCCCGGTAAGACTGCGCAATGAGTTGGCACCGGCATGCTAAAGCCAAACCCGAAAAATTGTGTTGGAAGTTTAGGGTGCCGGGAAATCATGGAACTTCTTGAACCGACGCCAGATAATCAACAGAGCGTTCGGGCGGCCGGTCAGCGTTGAACTCGCGGGGGGTGTGGATTCGTCGAGGCGTCTTCCGGGCTCGTAGTTTCAAGCGAAAATAAAATTTGCCTCCGCGTCGAATCCAGGTGTGTGTAGGCCAGGCCGGAGATAAGAGAATCGTCGGAGGAACCGTCGCGCCGGTCGACTGAGAGAGCTCGGACCCTCGGAGGCAAACGTGTTCCATGCCGTACTCGAATCTGTTCCAATTTACATTTATATTGAACCGCGGGCTAGACTGCGAGCCACACGGCTGTTTACCGACTCCCAGGATACATTTGTGTCTTTCCATTTACGCGCGGCCGGGACAGGCCGGCCCGCTACCCGACTACGTACTCCAGCTTCTTAAACTTTTAAACCCCGTCGCGTCGAGACTGCGTGCAGCCTCTCTCGGCTCTCTTTACACCGAGCCGTGGTTCCTCTTCCTCTGTTTCTTCGAATCGACAGAGAGAGAGTCCCAGCGCTCTACCGACTGAATTTGATTCTGCTCTAAACCGCTCAATGGTAATTCCTGGGCTCTGTTCGTGCTATATAACATCAATGTACTCTATTCTTTCTAACGGTACACGTAACTTTGCTCGAGAAGTAGGTCAAAAGGCAATTTTTGCAAGTGTATTACAGCTTTAATTATTATTACTATAATAATAATTAAATATATAATATAATATAATATAATAATATAATATTACATTATATATAACTTACTTATATATATAATAATTATTATTTATTATTACAGCTTTAAAAAGCTGCTACAGTATGTGTATGGTATGCATCGTCATAAGATAAGATCATCAAATGCTGTGTGAAATTTTCAATTGCCATGCCTGGTTACCGAGACGCAGCCGTGAAAGTTGACGAATAGTTTGGGGAATCCAGTACAAACGGGGGAAACAGTATGGAGAATCTGAAACATAGGGTGTCCCAGAATTATGGTACTTCCGGGAAATGAGGGGTTCCTAAGATCATTTGAAATAACTTTTTCCTTAGCAAAAATGCAATCCGCGGCTTTGTTTGCGAGTTATTAACGAAAAACAGTGACCAATGAGAGGCGACATCGCTGGCGCGATGCAGCCGAGCCGACGAGCGGTCGAAGCCCAGTTCCGCTGATTGACGCTAGGCGAGCTCGCCTCTCATTGGTCACTGTTTTTCGTTAATAACTCGTAAACAGAGACGTGGATTGCATTTTCGCTAAGGAAAGAGTTACTTTGGACGACCTCAAGAATCACTCCTTTATACTTCGCATTAGTGATGCAAAATATTTTTGAATTAATTATTAGGCTTGTCCTCCTGAAATGAAGAAGAAAATCAGAATTTTTCATTTAATAATTACCTTTAAAATAAATTCAGAAAACTCGCTAATTTCACACCTTTCGACCTGGAACTATAACGAATCAGACTCGTGTTGAAAACTTCATACATAAATCGAATTATCCAAATATAAATGAGCCGTTTATTTTGAAAGTGGCATAAGTCACTTTACCGTAATGAAAAGTGGTGATTTTTTAATGTTTATACGAAATTATTTATACCGAGGAAAATATCAATATCCTGAGATAACGAATACAAGTAAATCTTCTCGAAAGTTAGCATCCATATTTTTAAACGTGTTAAAACGCAAACCCTTAAATATATCGACTTAAAAACAATGCCACTTTCAAAATAAACGGCTCAAATGTTATTCATTTCTTCCAAATCCTGAGCAAATTTGATTCTTATGTTACCGACGTCTATGTAGCAATGAAAATACACAAAGAGACATACAAGAAGCAAAAACTGGTTTGTTGTATTAGGAAAATTATTAACACTAAACCCACCGAGCCGTTTGTTAGACTTAATTAATGCCTTAATACAAATATGCATTATGTTACGGTGAATAGTCGAAATACATGTCATCCTTAGAAAGCAAGTCAGTTTCAGAGCTCGGTAGGTTTACGGTGAAAGATAAAGAAGCGCTAATCAACGCAGTAAAAGAAATCGCAGCGCGGATGGTTAATGTGAACAGGAGAACGTTGGGTCAAGAGGAGAACAGCAGCGGGAACAGACGGAATTCGCCACGAGCGAAAAGTAGTCTAAAATCACGCTGTTGCTTCGAAATCGCCGGAATTCAGTGGGATCTGACCGGGCAAGTGACAAGGCGAGGCATCGACGGCGCGCAACCCTCTTTACGAGCGCCATTCGCTCGGTCGTATAGTTCCAGGGCGGTTTAAGTGAGAAAATCATCAGGCTGCGAGAGTTCCAGCGACGATATACGCGCGCCGGTGTTTATCTTACGACCCTTCTGAATGTTCGGAATTGATGGTAGATAGCGGCCGAAGGCGGCGTCGGCGTCGGCGGCGGCGGCGGCGGCGACAGGAAACTGGAAACTATTTACTCGAGGGACGATATTAAGGGTGGGGCTTATATGAAAGCGGATAGATCAGACCGATATAATGCCGCGGTGCACACCGGGTCTCGAACATTGTTGAGGGTACCGGAAGGGACTGTGTCACAGGAAAATCCGAAGCCAAAGGGGTAGAGCGCGGATACCGAATTGAAACGGAACGATTCAGACCCTCCTAAGTTTTAATAAGCTCGATGGTCCCTCGCCGCGTCTGCTGCAACAGCTCAAGAGCAGCCCGTTCCTTCTTCGATTCCCTTACGACAATGTCGAAATGGAGCCGGCCTGTCCCAGCGTGCTCAAGGAACCCTCGTTTCTTTCCCGTCTC